ATATAAAATATATGTGGTAAGACTTTATATTACCCCACTAAAGCTTAACTTTCAAGGTTCATACTCCTAATCTCTCAATATCACTTTGAGTTACATTACTTCGAGTACTGATTCCAATTTTCAGGACCATTTACCAGTTCGGCAACAGTAACTTGATCAGAGTGCTTTCTAAGAGCTAGCCTTGGTCCCCACTGGCAACCATTAGCTCTTTAATCTGTCAACTTGCTAGAAACCTGCCCGCTGGACTCTCATCCAGCCCTCTTCTTCACAGGTATCATGACAAGTGTCAAGAAATGTCTCCTTGACACCCAGATACCCACTTAATAGTTGTATTGAAAGAACAACTGACTTCAGTTACAGTGAGTGCTGTTTTGTATCCTGAGGATTCACGAAGCACCTGCTTGATGACTTTATTTTTTCTTTTTTGGTACTGGAGATCGAACTCAGGACCTTGTGCTTGTGAGGCAGGCAGCAACACCACAGAGCTATGTCCCCAGCCCCACATCTGCTTAACTTCTATAATAAATCTGCTGGTAATGGTTATAAAGTTGTTTATAATTTCCCAAATACAATTTTATTCTTTGGGAAAACTCAGAAACCAGTCCATTTATAGTCTTTTGCTCACTCTCATGCTTTATGATTCTTAGAATATTAAAGACAAAAGACCAGAAATGATGCCTAAGTGTGTTCTCTGTACTCTGCTGGAACCTGGCCCCCAGATGTGAACACAGACAGAGCTCTCGCTCCTGACCCATTGCGGCTTGAATTCCCTGCCCAATGGCTGTTCCTGCACTGGGCTTAAATATCATTTTGCCTCTGCAGAGATGGCAAGGTCAGCGCAAACCCCGGCTTAGCACTCGGATGGAAGAAACAATGAGAACAGGAGGATTCCCCGTGCAATTGGTAGGGAGCTCACTGAAGCCCTTGGGCTGAGACCTCGGCACAACGACGACAGCTGGGCTTTGGGCACACAGAAACGGGCCACTTACTCCTTCAGTTGCTTGGTTAGCTTCACCACCTGTGAGGCCAGCGACATGCAGGTCTCCACCACCACCAGGTACCGAGAGCACAGGGTGTGCCCGTGCCGCTCCGCGCTCTGGGAGGGCTTGTCCCCTACGTGGTTCTGCATGGTGACATTTGCTCCATACTCAACCAAGGTCTGTCAGAAAGTGCAGAGATACATAATCAGGATCTCCTTCGAAACACTGCATTTTAATGAAGTGTAACAGAATGTTAAATGAGAATTTTCTCGTATTCTAAAGGCGATCATCAGAGCCCAGTGTTGGGAAGAGGTTACCAGTGATGACAGATGCCTCTCTTCAGAGCCTATAAAGGTGGAGCTGAGCCATTCTGCCTATTACCCGTCCCCACCTGCAGCCACTAGGGAAGTGCTGGGAGAGGCGGGATGTTGCTCCTGCCCACAGAGTCCTTGCCTTTCGGAGATGTTCACGGGGAGGTGTTTTGTCCCTTCTGATGGCTGGGCTCCAAACGAGTCAGTCATAAAGTCAGAGATGCCTATCGGATGGGGAGTGGAACTGTGTTTACTTGGATCCATTTGTTTGGGCCCTGGTAACTGGTTTTGGACTAATACTTGCTAATTGCTTGCTCAGTCTTCTGGATCAGGAATAAAATGGACAGAGACAAAGGGGCAAGACAGGGAGCAGGGTAGCTACGAAGCAGCCAACACTCCCACTATACACCACAGCAAGGATATGTTTGTGCATCGAGCAGACTTTGTAGAAGTGTACTTGGTGTGCGTGCCGCGATCCCGTTCTCCCAAAGGAGAAAGCCTCCAGCAAGAGTTGGAAATAAGAGAACAGGTTACAGGAACTGTGAGGGTAGGAGAAGGTACCACGTCAGGTGCAAAGGGAGAGGCCCCAGAGCTCACTGTCGGTCCCATGCTCAGCACCGACCACAGCCTGTACTTGAAGGATGCCACAGAGTGTCAGTGACCACAGCCAGCCACAAAAAGAAGCAGTGGCAACTTCCAGGGAGGCTATGGTGTTTCCCAGTTAAGCAAAGAGACATCTGACTTTATTTCATTATATGTTTCTTTGTCTCCATCACTGAAGCCCAAAAAGGGACAGGGCAGCAGGACCTATAGTGGTAATGGCTGGTCCTGCTTTACTCCCTATTCCAAGTCCCTAATAGGGTTGGGGTGGGCACAGGAAGAATGCTTTGGATCAGAAATAAGACTGAAATTTTAAATTGCTTTGGAGGAAATTTTAATAGCCAAAGGCAAGCAGAAAGTCAGAGCATCTGGCCATGGCAGAGGAGAGGGAGATTTGATGACTAGCTGAAATCAATAATTTAAAAACCCTGAAACTATTTTGTATTCATATGCGATGCCAGGATTCCACAGAAAGCTGTTTGAACACTATTAATCAGCCTCCACACCCGATGTGTTCTTTGACAGTATCATGACGAGATTGCATACTGTCAGATTTATTTTGGGAGTAATGATTTTTCCCCCCACAAACAACACTTGTATTAAATTCTTAGACTAATTAGAATCAGAGACCCTAAGAAGCCTCACTTTCTTTTTGGTTTGTAGCTACTCACCACGAAAGATCAACTTACCATGAAATCGTGAACCTGCCTCCCAGGTGCCACAGAGAGCAGGGCAGCTCGAGCACCCAGCGCTCTGGGCAGATTCAGTGTCAACCACACTGCCCCTGCTCCCTTCATGCTGGACTCCAACTTTCTTGGCACCGTTTTCCTTACTCGGTCTCCTCCCCACCTGATAAGGTCCCTTGCTCATAAGTCCCTTTTCATTTCTATCTTTAAACCTCATATCCAGTGGGTAGACCCCATCCCAAGATTATCTGGTGCCAAAAATATCATTTGTGTTAAGTGGAGTGATGAATCCTTTGAAAGGCGAGACTACCTCTCTTCACGTGTTAGGAAAATAACTAAACTCTTAAACAGAATTAGCTATAGCACACTTTTTTTGGCTTTCAGTCATATATTAGCTGGGAAAAATTATTTCAAGACTATTAAATATTGGAGTGTTTGGTAAATGGAGCATTATAATTTCTGTGTTAATTCAACTATTGTTCCAAGGAATAATGCTGCTCCTGTCATCTTTCTGCATATCCTGGTAAAAATTTAAATTTCTCTCTTTCCTATACTTTGTAATTTCTGATGAATCCCTTTAGAAGTCCATGCCTTAAATTGGAAGACACATGCTATGCCAACAATAATGGGAAAACATTCAGACACATATACGCCGAATATTTCCTACCAAGATAGCTCTTGAAGAAGAGCTTCGTGTGAACAGAGAGCTCTCTGCTGTTATCTATGCTTTCCTTTTCAAATATACCTTGTCTTTCGCATATTCTCCTCTTATTTCCTGGTGTCTCTCTACCTCTCTAAGTGGCTAGTTTTCACTGAGCAGCTTCCCGTTTCAGGCATAGTCTACCTGCACCTAGTGGGAACTCGGTGTCTGCTGCGTACATGAGCAGTAACGGAGACAACACACAAACCGGCCAAACGGCGTGTTGCTTTTAAGGTGGGACCGTGCTATATACGCAAAACATGTTGTACTGCATGAGGTATCTGAGGTAAAAGTATTTTCTCTAGTAACAGCCTTCAAACATGCCGTGAAGATTTTCCCTCAGATGTAGGAACAAAATCATTAATGTTGGAGTATTTTGTTTTGTTTATGGAACCAGGGATTGAACTCGGACCTTGCGCTTGAGAGGCACGCAGTGGAACCACTGAGCAAAATCCCTGGCTACTTGGAGGATTTTTTTTTTTTTTTTTGGTACCTGGGATTGAACTCGGGTCCTTGCGCTTGCAAGTCTGCTGAGCTTAATCCCCGGCCCTACTTGGAGGATTTTTAACAAGAACACTTTGATTAAGCCAGGGATGTAGCTCAGTGGTGCCACTGCCTGCCTCTCAAGCGCAAGGTCCAAGTTCAATCCCTGGTTCCCCCCCCCAAAAAAAAAGAAAGAAAAAAAGAGAATTCTTTGATTGGCCTGACTCTGTTGACTGAATTTTAGTATCAAAAATAAAATTTCAGGCCAAACCTAAACCTGGACTTCATTTTCTATTCCTTAGTGTTTATTTTACACCTCTTCACCTAACTGATCCTCTTCCTCTCCTTTTGACCATTCCTCTTTGCTCTCTCTGAGGACCTCCAACATTCTGTAGGTGAAAGGATCCATAATGCTTTCATGTTCACCACTCCCGAAATTTTGGGTCCAACTACAGGGTTTTGCGGGGCTGTGCTATTCAGGTGGTGGCCCAGGTTTAACTCAGACTCATGCAGTTGTGCCTCCAGGTGACAGGTGAGATGCTGACTCCTCTTCCTGCAGGAAGCTCCTAACCTTGAAGCACAACTCAGGGGCTTGGGTACAGAGGTGTCACCGCACGCACAGAAAACAAGAACGCTGAGGCCTGCTGGGTGAAGTGCTGGGCCAAGTGCATGGGGCTACTTGAGGCTAAAGGGTGGAAGGCAGAGAGCAACACCTTCCACCTTCTTCCCCTAACTAATTCTTGGCTTCCAGGGGCTGGGGATTTAGCTCAGTGGTTCTGCCACCTGCCTCAAACGTGCAAGGACCTGAGTTTGATCCCCGGTACCAGAAGGAAAAAAAAGCCTAATTTTTGGCTTCTGTATTTAATAAGGTCAGACCTACTATAGACAAAAGGGAAAACTATAGCCTACTATTCATTATAAAGAGTTCTTCTAATCCATGCATAGAAAGTCTGCCTTGATAAGGAGCTGAATTCCTTGGAGTTTTAATTGATATTTCATACTACAGAGAAGCTTCAAATTCCTCATGATTTAAATGGGGAACTAGAGGGAGTTTTATAAAATTTTTCTTTGCTAGATGATAGCCAATTTGTATTTGTTGTTACTTTTTAATCTCAAGTCGGTATATTCAGTTTATTCCAGTCGTCAGTCTGATTTTCTCACCTGTTTATTGGTCAAAATACTTATAGAACTTATTACTAAAATGAAAGCAACAATGGCATAGTTTTGAAACGTTAGTTTTGATACTTCAAAGAAATAATTTTCTTTTCTAGATTAAAAAAATAGTTTTGTAGCATTTCAAACTGAAGTAATTAGTTCAAGTTTTCATTCATTTTTATGTTTTTATAATTTCCTCTCTTCATTTTGGTATTTTGTAAAATAATTTAAATGGTGTATTTGTAAAATTACAATGATGCAAAATACTGTGTCCATATGCACACACATAAAGAGATTTGCAAGGAGTTTTTATATGGATACAACTTTTTGTATAGTTTGCTTTTGATACGGTAATGTACAATAAAACCATGTTGAGTTCTTAAAAAAAAGAAAAGAAAATCTGCCTTGCTTTTTTAACTGCCTTTGGAGTAAAGATGTAGCAGTGAAAGCAAGAAGAGTCTACCGCCGGAGAGACGGGAAGATGGCAGCGTGGTGGTCTTGAGGATGCGGCACACTGCACAAGCACTGTTCTCAGCACTGGGCTTTAGGATAATGTTGGGAGAGCAGGTAAAGTCCCTTTCTACACCTCCGATGCTGAAGGGAAAATTCTAAGAGCTACTTGGCCTACATTTGTGAGGATTTTTAAAAACACAAGTACATCATTACAATGTCTTCTGTCTACTATAATAGGAAAGGTGATTAATCCAGGCATTGTCTTGATGAGCAAAATTGTTGGCTTCTGTTTTATTACATGACATGGTCCCTCTGCCTACAGAGCAGCAGGACTGTACCTGAATGCACCCAAGGTAGCCATGCTGCGAGGCCACATGGACTGCGCTATTGCCGTCCTGGTCCACTTCATCCAGGGAGATGCCTTGCTCTTGCATGAACTGAAGAAGCCACAGAAGGATCTTTTCCTACACACACGAACACGTGGAGTAAAGAGAATATCACGCAGAGAAGTCAGAATAAGACAGCCGAAAATCATTCTCTAACTTGTAAAGAATACATTAAACCAAGATTATCGTACCAAAGGAAAATTCTCATCCAATAGGAATGGAAAATTCACAAATCTGACTGAAGTGAATGAAAGAAGACCGAGGGAAGGATTTTAAGAGCAGGGCGTTACATTGGAGATACTCTTGCTTTACGTACTTATACAGAGGGAAACAGATTCATGCAAAATAGGATTACTTGCTCAAAGTCACACACTAGACAAAACCAGAATCCTGGCCTTTTGATTCCAAAGCTCCCGTTTTTACTACTGTGTTAAACTGTGTATAGCCCTCAATCATACTATCAGAAAACCTTAAAGTACGCAGATAAATAACTTCTGGTTTTAAATTTATAATCCTGAACCTGTTTATAATTCTGCAACCTACTAATCCCATAGCTTTGGCAATCAATAGACTTACATAAAGAGGTAACATTTTATAATGTCAAGCACAAGGTAAAGTCACTGAACAAAAACCAGGAACCTTTATTTTTTTCTGACCGAGTGCTGGTAGTGTTAAAGTCAAACTTCTTCTTTCAGGGTAAAGGGAGGGAACCAAAAGCTCTGAACACAAACTTGCAAAGGCAAAGTTATAAAGCAGTCAGTACGTTTTGTCATAATCTGTTTGCATTTTACCCACGGAATGTTTTGTGGTATTTTCATATTATGTTTGGCTTTTCAAGAAAGCAGGGGGATGGGACTTCACTGTTTTAAAATAGAATAATTAAATATAAAGTTAAAAAAATATGAGAGTGGTAAAAACAACAGCATGAGGTTTAGTGAGTGGAATTTGACATTTAAAAGGATGATCATGTGTTTGAAATAGCCTTGAACTTTTTTTCTTCTTAGCCTTTTAAAGGATTTTTTCCAGTTATTTGCTCATACTGGTCATGAACTTTATACTTTTCTGAATTAAATTTGCCTTCATCTTCTGAACATGCCAACTAATCTGCTAAAGGAATGGTGGATAAAAACAGTGAACTCCTTTAATGTTTTCAGCTCTACCCTAGGAACAAGGCACTATTTATGAAGGTATCAGACATCAGGGACAGACTGAACATTTGCACCACGCCTTTTCCAAATGAGCAGGCACAAAGTAAGACTTCTAAAGATAAAAAAGACAACAATATAATAAATAAACTCCCAAGTTTGAACCTGGGAGAGTAATGTGAGTCTTACCTGCAAAAGCAGACAAACCTTCTAGAAAGTGAAACCTTCAAAGGCCCCTTACAGAATAGGATGGAAAAGAGGCTGAAAGCCAGAGCTGGGAGTCCCAGTTGGATAAAGATATTCTGATATATGGAACTCTTCTCCCTGGGAGAAAGTTGGGGCCGACACTTGAAATAGAACAGTTAATGTTCTCTGGCTTGAAGTAAAGCTACCTCCTTTACCTTTTCCAATTAGGTAGAGGAAAAATACGGGATTATTTTTAAGTGGAAACAGATAATTACACCATATGATCTTATGTGTTTAAAAACCTCAGTGAGTGGTAGTATCCCAAGATAAAAATTCCATTGAGTTCTGTTAACCATTGGTTTGGAGTCCATGGTAAGATACGTTGAAACTGCATGAGGGCAAGTTGCTGTGCCTCCACTGTTAAAAAGAAGGCCCCACCACTTGGGGACCATAGTTTCTTCAAAGGGGCATTTACAGGCTTGTGGAGACTTGACTTGCCCATGATATTAAATCATGCACTCTTTAAAATGCAGACTGGAAGGAATTTTAGGGAATTATCCAATTCAAACTGCATTATTTTATCAACCTGAAAACTGAGGGAGAGTACAACTGTGGGTTCTCTGATTTGTAGGGGCTTCCTCTTCAGGAAGTAAGCTCAGAGGAGTTCACAGTGTTTGAGTCCATTTTTTTCTAACACAGCTATAACAGTGGTTGTATCTATTCCACCTGCATGAACTCTTACTAATATCACAGTGTGTTGGTTTTTAGTGGTACGGTCATAGCTAATGGAATAATGTACTTCATAATACCAGGAATTTTCCTATCATGCAAATCTGGGGGTTAGTCCTAAGTCTGGGAAAACAAGACACACAATGTCTGTGCATGTTGTGAAAGAGCTGGCCTGGCTCCTGACAGCTCTCTAAGCCAGATTCAGTCTGTATTGTTATAATAAACCGCCTTCTTTCCTTTTAATGCCAAATTAGAGACCTTATCCAATTCACTATGCAAAACTTATACAACGGGAGGACCATTTCTGATTGTTCGGGACAAAACTGGTATTTACCCAACATCTTGAATTTAGCTGTTTTTGGTAGGACAATTTACTTCCATAAGAAGATACGCAACTGGCCTGTCCACTAATTCACCGAAATAAGTATCTTCCCTATCATACCATGCAGAGAAGAACGGAACAACAGGACAGCTGACATACCTTTGGTCTTCTAACAAACCACATTCAGGGTTTCTGAGATGGATGTGAAGATGGCTAATATCTGCGGTTTTGGTAAAAGCATATTTAGCATCAAATCTTAAGAAATTCTGCTGATTCTGGAGAACACGGCGGTGGAAGCCCAGAATCTTATGAACTTATTTGACAGATACCTTTTAAGGGGGACCAGATACACGTGGCTAGTCATTCTCCAGCCAGAAAGCTCTTATTCATGTGTGATGTGTCTGCTACTTCTCTTAGCCCTTTAGAGCACATTCTTTCTCTCTCCTGCACCCACTCTCCCTCTTGCCCCCACCCCCTTCCTAGGTTGAGATGTTAAAGGAAGAATGTAACGTCAGATTCTCATTTCCCCGTAAGTACTGCTTTCGGAGAATATCCAATATAGTCACAGAAGGGCATGGGGCAGCCTTTCTGTATTACTTCTGTTTCACTACAGAATGTCTAGCTTACCTTTCATCCACTCACAAACACCCATCTGCACATTCAGCTTGGATCTATTGAATGAAAACTTTTATGTATAGTTTCCTCTTCTGGGGACTTTCTGGTAACCTGTTTTCATGTTGTATTTTATGTGCTCCCAAAGGCAATGCAAGTTGTTTAAAGAGGCAATTAATACATGTAATTTATGAGATCTGCTGGACAAAGTCTAATAAAAATTCGATTGAAAAGCATGTCAGTTTTATTGCTGGTATCAATAAAATCTCTATAGTTTGTAGTATAATCATAAACTCTGAAACATCCAGCTTTGTCTGCAATCATAGGTCATTAAATCTAATACTACATCAACTCTAAGTTTCATTCCAGTTTTGAGATGTTAAAATGTAAAAAAAAAGAGTCCAGCAATAATTTCATAATGTCATTTATTGTTGAATGAATGTACAATCCTGAGATGGTGAGATGTAAAAAAATACTGCATATAAAAATTGATTAAATAGGTTGAGGCCTAAATAATTCTTTTCATGCTTCTCTTTACTTATGGTGAAATAAGTAAATAAATAATACCAATAGCAATAAAAACAACAAATTGGAAGACACCAAAAAGCCACAATGGCTACTGTTCACCCAGTGCCTACACCATGCTGGGCAATGTGATTTTTCTCAGCCCTCAGAATAACCCTATGAGGAAGATTCCATTATCTCTATGGTAAAAATGAGGAAAACTGCAGTTCAAGGGACTTATTCTGCCCTTTCTTTTTTAAACTAATGCATCTAAGGCCACTAGTAACTGGAAGGGCTAGGATTAAAATTCAAAAACTGAGATAGGGACCAAGGTTCTTTTCAACTGTTTTCTGTCTTCTGAGTGTGCATGTGCACAACTTCCTGTTTCCCAAAGGCCACGCTCCAAAGGACAGACTCCCTCTGTGCCCTGCTTGTCCATCTGTGAGTCTGTAGAGCTCCGGGTCACAAGGTCAGTACTTGAAGAGCAGGTAGATGTGCATGCTAAGCAGAGATTTTTCTTTCTCACTTTCATCTTTAGTCATAGCACTTTGAGAGTGTTTACTTACTTCTGCCTCATTATAATCAAATAGTAAATTTAAGGAGGGAATATTTCTCCTTTTTAAAGTAAACTGTGGGGGAAAACAACAAGAACACCTGTAGAAATATCTTTCTTACCAGCTTACCTATCACTGCTTATTCCAATTCATAGGAACAGTTGAGCCCTTTTTGTTCCCCAAAAATACTCTTTTAGGGAGTCTACTAGATAAGGGAAGGGGAGCAGAAGAAGGGGAAGGAACGGAAAGGGTGGTAACGGAGGGGACAGATGAGACAAAGTATGTTACATGCAAACAGAAAAATGTCACATGCAACCTAATAGTCCATATCACTCATATGTACTAATAAAAATCACATGGATGAAATAAAAATGATTAAAGAATACTTTCTGATTTAAAAGTGCTCTTTAAAAAATCTATGTCAGGAAACATAAAAAGAAAATAAATAGTATAGGCAAAACTGCTCTTAGCGTAGTGATATACAGTGGCTTGTTTCTGTTGAAGAATAAGTTGACTGAAAGTCACACAAATGATTCAGAAACAAAAAGAACTTCAGGTGAGCTGCGGAGTATCACACAGAGCCCAACGATCCATGCCCGACTGCCCACGCCCTGGGCAGAACCTCTGCTAGGAGGGCCTGGTCAAGGAATTGGAACCGTAGTGTGCAGGCCATGGCTTTTAATCAACATGGTTCTGTCTCAGTCGCTGCGGTGTGACTTACTCCCTCAGGGAGGCAGGAAGGCCTGTGCAAGGGTGACCTGCTCGGGTCCTGACTCTCCCTGAGGCCTTCACCTTCAAAACCCCTCTGGCTAGCTCTACTAGGTACAATCAGGCGATGAAATAATTGCCCCCTCTGAGACTTCAAGTGTCAAGAAGAGGAAAATCAATTCCTATCACCCGGAAGAGCTATCACTCTGGGAGACCACTAAAAAGTACTGGCTGCCTGGTGGCACTGGACTCGTTTAAAGGTAATTTTTATAAAAGAAAGGTACAAAGTAGGAGTCCAATGGAGCCCATTCTTTAAGAATCTATATGAGGGGCAGAGGGTAAGTAAAATAAACCTAGAGGAATTTTCCTCAGTGCTATCTTTGCCAGAGATATTTACTGAAGAAACAAAACTGGGGCACACTCAAATGTTTGCTTGATGCAGGAAAACTTGCATGTGCTGAATCCATTAGACAGCTGTTCAATAACAGTCTTCCTGTGAAAATATTAGCCTTGTAATGGTTTCAATTTCAGCATCTCTGCAGGTTATCTGTTACATAAGTGGCAGGGCAGATGCAGGACGGCTGACAGGATTCCCAAAGTTAGGTGTCCATGTTTTCCACTTGGGCAGGAATGCTTTCCTAAGGGTGTTGCTGGACTGCCTCCTCAAAACTAAATTTTAGATCCTATCAGCTCACAATAACCTCAAGACTGATACTAGCAAGAAACAACACAGCCCTTCAAATAGGTCGTTAGTTTCCACATTTTTCTCTAGTTCAGTCCAGGCAGCCACAGCATCTCTCCGCCCGTCCCAAAAAAGGCGCTGTCTTTTGTTCTAGCCCAACAGCTGAAAAATTATTAGAAACCTGCTGTGAAAGTTGAAAAAAGAGACTGGCATATATAATCACTCAAGAAAAAGATGCTGAACGCTGGGTTAATTCCTGTACAGCCTCCGCATGACCCTGCCGTCCTTTACTCCTCTCCTTTGACAGACCTCTCACGAGACCGGGCAGCCTCTCCACCAATATCTCTACAAGCCCTCAGCAGGCTTTGAATAAGCAAAGGAAGACGGGGACAGGAAATTACTATTTATACAACTTAATAAAATTCTGTCTTATACTGCCAATAAATTATGAAGATTAACAATGATCAAATTCTTCGAATTTTTGAAATTTTTATTTTCCCTTCTGCCAGTCTGAGCAGAAGAGTGTAGCCTTAGCAGATGCCTATGAACTGTCACTGATTGTCGTGAAGACACTGGGGTGGAGACTAAGTTCAATTCACAACGAAAACACAGCAAGTGTAGTATTTAAAAAACAGTGGCTTATATGTGTTTCAAATGTTCCTTCCCCTCCTTTCTTCATGCCATGAATTTCATAGTTACCTGTTTACTTTAGTGAGCTGTTTGAGGTGTTCCAAATGGCACAATGTACTGTCAGAGTAAATCGTAAAGAAAGTCTTCTTTACCTATATCAATGCCACTGTAACGCTCTGTACAGAACATCTCTGCAGGTGGGGACAAAACCAGAATTTGGCCCCGAAGTCAGAGGACCTGAACTGAAATCTAGTCTTTGCCACTAATCACGTGAGTCATTAACTTTCCTCAGTCTCATGCACAAAATCAGATCTCGTAGGACTGTTTCGAAGATCAGACTGTGAACACAAAATCCCAGCACATGGAGCCTGACATACATATCAGGCATGTACGTACAGATGTGTAGTTTCCATCGTTTCAGATATCTGTAGTATATCTGAAACGACTGCTTATATCTGTAGTGTCTGAAGTTATTCTAACAGCACGACTCCTGGTACAGACAGACATGGTGATGTTCTTCGGCCTGGTTTTTGAATTTGAGATTTTCGTGCTTGAAAATCATCACCTCCTATCGACAATACCACGATTTACTGCCACTGGGAATCTTTGTGAAGCCAAAGTGGATGCAATTATATGCACGAGAAAGAATTTTCTTTGCCACAAACAAATACAAGTAAATCTATTTTAATACAGTCCTGACTTTATTATTTTTTAAGACTGAAATCTGCATTTTGTGGTTCCTATGCTGTTGTTGTTCCCACGTTTTTAAAAGAACAGTTACATCTGTCCTCTTCAAAGGGTAGCAGGGAGTTTTTACTCCATATACTGGACTGTGACCTGTGCATATTAATTATTACTGGTAGGACTTTGCAATGTGAAATTAATTGTAACTAAGAACCAGTGAGATAGTGTGCTTGCTCATCTTCATAAGAGACTTCTTTGATTAATATCTTATAAAGATTTTAACTTTGAATTCAATAAAAAGGTTTTTCCTTCTGATAAAGATCAAAAGCATTGTAAGCAACTGGGAAAATCCATACACACAGAGCCTCTTGCAGTCCCACCCCGAGTGACTGTGAGCACATGGCTTCTTCCCAGTTCTACATTTTATTTCTCTTTCTGTTTTTCTAAATTCAGTTGTTACAACATTACAGAAATAGTTTTGTATTATACATTTTAATTAATATGATGTGGTGACTGTTTTCTCATAAAATTCCATCATTTGAATGTAGCTTCATTATTTAGTAAATAAATTAGGTTTGAAACGTTTCTTCATCAAAATGCACTATGGTGAGTATCACTGCTTATACATTTTTGGATTTGATGATTTTTTTAAAGTTTGCATTGTGATGCACTAATAATGCAAAGAATGGATTACACAGCACACAAAGGTAAAATGCTTAGAAAGTCCATACCTGGCCATAGCAGCCTGCGTAATGAATAAGGCTCGGGAAATCCTTAGAACAACTCAATTCTGCAATGGCTTCAGTTTCACTCACCATCCATCGCACACACTCCAACTGGCCATTCTAGGTTAAAATTAAAAAAAAAAAAAAAAGAGAGAAGAGAAAGAAACTCAAGGTCACACAGCGCCATCTCACTAAATTAGCATATTTTTCCAATATCAAATTTGGTTGGTTGATTTTCTTTATTATTTTTGCTATTCCCTGTCTCCCTTAGTTCCACTCTAATTTTTATTATTTCCTTCTCGCTGTTTGCTTTGGATTTAGCTTGGTCTTCTTTTGCTAGTTTCCTAACCGAGGTTAGGCTGCTGATTTGTGATCTTGGACTTTCCCTTCCTCCTTTCTTTATAAGCCTCCCTCTACGTGCAGCTTTGGCTGCAGCCTATAGATGTGTGAATGTTGTTTTCCGTTTAACTTCAAGTACTTTCTAATTTCCTTTCTTATTTCTTCTCTGACATTTTGTCTGTGTCAGAGAGTACTAATTCCACACAGTTGTGAGTTTCCTAAATCTCCTTCTGTTAATGATTTCAAATTCTGTCATGATTGAAGGACATAAATTTGTATTTCACTCCTTTCAAATGTTTTGAGATTTGTTTTCTACCCTAACGCACGATCTGTCCCCAAAGTGTTCCATATGCTCTTGACAAAAAATGTATATTTTGCAGTGGTTGGTTACTTTTTCAGAAGAATGCTAGATGTGGTTACTCAATGAGACAACATTTAAAATAAAATACTGTTAAAAACGGGAAATATATTCTTACTACTGGTATGAAACCGGTATCACTCGCCATTAATATAAATACCAAGAAAATACACAAAAGACAAATTATTAAATTTTAGCCAAAGTTTTTCTGCCAAAATCTATAGGCCTGGTTTCATGGATTACATATTAAAAAGAATATCAGTAAGTTTATGTGTCTGAAATCATATTATCACCAGACCAACAGTTTACCTTTAGGCTTAATCAAACAACTGAATGAGAAATGAAAATGAAATTAAAGTTATTTCATTCCAAGTCTGTTTAGCTACTAAAATAATTTCTTCTGCTAATCTCATTTTGGAAAACAAACTGCCTTAGAAAGCAGGTATTTTAGGAATGTTTCTTTCCCATTTCTTTGCTTAACCATTTCCAAAGGGTGCTCGATAACACTGAATTTCCAAAATATCTATTGCTGGGTCCCTAAAAAACACTTGATAAATTCTGCATGTAACTGACACTATCACTGCATTCCACGTAAAGAGTTTAAGAATAGGGGAGAGACATTCCTAAGCTCTCATATGACTTTAAAGCTCCTTTGCTCACATCATCTTATTTGATACCACAGCTCTGAGCCTGTTTCCTCTCAGCCAGATCATATACGTTTCCACATTTGTACCAAGTATGTTTGTTTTCTCATCAGGGCTCTCAGAACACTTTTTGATGAAGTCAAACACCACTGGCTGGTTACTGGTGTTCAAAACAAGGCCTTAAAATGGAAGAATGATGACTCCTTAGAGCTCTCTCAACTTCTCAATGTTTGCCAGAGTGCGATAGTGGAGTGGACCAAAATGATACGCATCAAGACAGATGCTCAAGGGAGTGGTAGTTGTTACAGAGTATCTGTGCTTGTTACTCTTTACAAATTTTAGATTAAATCGTGGAAAAGAGGGGCACTTCTATTTCTCAAATTAGTGTTCAGAAGCAAAGTATGAGAAGCCCGAGACCACACATCTGCAAAGGTGTCAAGTCTTACGGGTTTGCTGTGTGTTTTCCATTCAAGCAACTTTTTGAAAATTTATATTTAAGTTTGCAGACTTCTGGGATGGTGGCAATGCTGTGGACTGCAGGAATTTTGGACCAAATCAACACCTATATATAGGGAAAGTAAAATGTGTTATTCTGAGCGTTGGCTTAATGGCCACTATGTTTCTTATGCACCTTCCTACTCAGAGATTTTTAATATAGCAAAACAGGCACTAGCTAGGGCACATAAGTGAAGGAAAAAAAATGCTGTCATCCAACACTATACAGTTAGGAGATATTCAGTAAACTACCATTAGTCACAAAATCCAAGGAGAACTGTATTTTATAAACACTAAAATGTCAAGGCAAATGTCAACATTCATCGACACTGTAAAAATATGTTATTGCTCACGGATGACCACACCCAAACACTACCTTCCCATAGCACTCTGTCAGAGGACTGGGTCCTGAGTCTGTCATCCTACGGCAGGACTAGTGATAACAAGCTCTCTTCCCCGGGCTGTCAGCTCCATGAGAACAGGGACCCTGTCGAACTCGGGTGCGGCACTAACCGCACCAGGGAGGTGTGGTACACACTGCTGCACTACTGCACCTCCCTTCACAGCTGGTCTCTCTTCCTGACAGCTGCAGAGCTTCAACTCTTGATTTGAGTAATACCATTCATAGCCAGAGGAAAAGGGTATCTACCAGGATTGCAGATTCTTATTTCACAAAATAAATATTTACCATACTATTTTTGAAGTCATACTTTACCAATGAGCAAAATTAAATAAGCTAGAACAATGTTTTTAATACATAAAACTTTGCTGAATGGTAAACAAATTAGATATACAAATTACCTTTGCATAAAACATATACTGGGAACAAGGATCGCTTTTTAATGTAGCACGTTCTGTGTATTCATAGTAGGTTCCCTTAGTCATTAGCAGTATGAGTCCATTTATAAAAAATTATGAATATTTGGCTTTCAGAAGACACAACTATTATGTAAAGCCAAGTATTCCCTGAACATCACTTCTGGCTTTTTAATACAACTGTATTTTACATTTGCCTTCCACAGATCTTAAAAGTAATTTTAGGTTACCCCCTAACCTTCCAGTGATATGTTACATTTTACAGAGAACTCAGCACCATGCTATAAGTCCAGCTTGCACTAATTTGTGCAGTTTTAATAGCACATTGTCCTCTGCAAGAGCTAAGTGTGAAAGCTGCACAGTTATTCTAAACAGCTCTCCTAAAGACATTTAAACTTTAGATCTGATCCAATAAAAGTCCATTTTACTATCTGAAATACTCCCAAGTGCTAGCAGCCCTTCCAATGCACCTTTTCCTCATTTGTCTTGGTCATGATTCTCACATTAGGAGAAAGGTGACGGTCTGTGATCAGGTGGGTGAGAATCTAAGCTGCAGTGAGTGTAACACATCATTTATCTCCCTCCTTTGGCTGCTTTGGAGCTCAGTCTCACTGGACAATAAATCGGAATGTTTATAAAATCTCAAAGCAGCGAGTGACTGAAATAATTCCTCTCTTATATGTAACTTGTTCACTTGCTGTTTGCTTGATAAATTACTCTCCTGTTTTTCTCTTCCAACACTTTTGCTCACAGGCAATCCTAAAAAATAAAAATCTAATGTTGGCCCCAGCAGTCACCTTGATGGCCAGGCCTGCCGGGGTCAGCTTCTCGGTGTTGCGCTCACTGAGACAATCCTCCCCCATCAGTGAGGTGAGGTGCTGCAGGCACTCCGCGTGTCCTCGGGCTGCAGCGATGTGCAGCAGATTGTTTCCATTTTCATCATGAATTTTGTCCAGATTGTCCGCAGCTAGGTGTGGCTGTACAAATGGCAAGATCAGAAATTTAAGTCAGTGAACAGAACAAGACACTGCGGGGTTTTGCTCTGAGCAACAGGAAGAACATATGTGCTTCCGGAAGCTCTGGCGGCAGTGTGGGAATCTGCTAAGCCTGAATTCCACTATGGAATTCTGTGCTACCATACTCTGGCCTTCTGGGCTGCAGAGACAGGAAGCTTTGCTCGCTGACTCTGCCACCCGAGTGCTGAGTCCTCAAGGGCTGGGATATGTTTTGCTTTCTGTGGTAGGTTTGTACAATGAACAAAATACTTGTTTGGACCTACTTCCTCAGTATAGAATCGTCAAGAAGTGGCTTTGACTACCAACTACATGACTGTAGCCACTACTGCTCTCATAGGTATCTGGAGACACCATCACCCCAGCAACCCCTGTGGAGGCTACTTGGCTTTGGTTTTTCTCACTTCTAGTGAGAGGTAGTCCCTCAAGATGAAATGGTTGAGTCTGTTGGGTGAAGTGAACAATATCAGCATTTGGGAAACAAAAACATGGCAAGAACAGAAGAAAAGAAAAAGCAATCAATTAGAAGAATAAGGAAAACATGGAAAAGACACTTTCAGGAGACAAAAATTTATCACTTATATTTGTGAAACTGTTTAAACATATTGTCCTATTATAACAATATTTGTGATAACAGACCAGGAGCATTGTACTTTATCTACATATGGTTTCACACTAAGTATAGTCACATTGCCAAAATGCAATGATTCTCTTGAATGAGAGTTTAATTAGCATCATAGTATGAGCCCAGGCCTGCTACTGTTTGATTCATGTCTGCTAGCCAGAACAGAACAAAGCAGGCAGCTGGAGTGTTATTTTGGTAAAGCTCTCCCTAGGCCTAAGCAGAACAGGCTCTTCTTACATCTCGTTACTCTGTCCAGGGTCTCTGGAAATGCTTCTTTGTGCTCCTTACACATGCAGAGCTGGAACTAAGTGAAAACTCCACGTGGGTCACAGGGCAGTCAGCTCTAGGGTAAGTGTCTATCTGCAGATGCTTTTCAAATATCCCGGCCCAACATTTCTGAATAATGATCAGGACGAAACAGAAGACTCTCTGTTCACCTATCTGGAAGGCTATGCCATCAGCAAAGAACTGATGTCCCAGCAAATAACTGAGCAAGAACCCTGTGAACCATTTGAAAGCAGAAAAAGTGCTATTAACATTCAAGGGAAACAAAGTATTGGGTTCTACTTTTTTGTTTTAGTTATAGATTAAATGCTTTTATTCCAGTTGAATTCATGCAAAGTTAAAATGAAGTAACATTACTTCTATGGCCATTTGTTTTCCTTGTATTAAGCGCCTAACTCCTCCTATGGCCATTTGCTTTTCCTGTATTTATCTTCTAACTTTTTGTTTTAAAACTGAAAGGGTCACATATCCTGACTAAAGCCAAAAGTAAAGATTGAGCAATAAGCAGCAAAACAAATGCACCTTTGTTCTATGAACACAGTTGATAAAAATGGAGTCACTCTTTAGATTATAGATTTAGCTTTTTTTTTTTTTTTTTTTTTTTTA